CATAACCCATCATAAGTCAAGGAGCATCTCTAGTCCAATTACTCTCCCTGCTTTCTTTTTTATTCCTCTCCAATTCATTTTCCACAATCCCACCAAAGTGAGCTTTCTTTAAGAAGCAGTTCCAGCTGGGTACGATGGCTCATGCCTGTAACCCTAGCACTTTGGGAGGCCGAGGCAGGTGGACCACTTGAGGCCAGCGATTCGAGACCAGCCTGGCCAACATGGTGAAACCCCATCTCTACTAAAAATACAAAAACTAGCTAGGCATAGTGCTACATGACTGTAATCCCAGCTACTTGGGAGGCTGAGGCAGGAGAATTGCTTGAACCTGAGAGGCGGAGGTTGTAGTGAGCCAAGATAGCACCACTGCACTCCAGCCTGGGTGACAAAGTGAGACTCTGTTTCAAAAAAAAAAAATTAAAAAGCAGTTTCAATCTTTTCACTCTTCAAAACCTTTCAAAGCCTTCCTTCTGCCCTGAGGGTAATGTCTAAACCCTCTAAAATAACTTAACAGACTCAGTTTGATCTAGCTCTCCAGCCATACAGCTCACCATTCACTCCCTAATTGTCTGTAGCCATATTAACTAACCTACATGGAATTCCATAATTAGACCATGTTGTCTTCAAGTGAGAAATTATGTGCAGGTCTGTCAAGAAAATTCCATAAGCATTAAACAAACTCAAATTATGGATTTAGGTCTCCAAATTTAGTACATTTCTTAAGGGCAGGTTGATTACTATAATCATCCAAACAGTGTTTCCTCTTCTCAAAGGAGGAAGTCGAGGCTAGCATGGTAGCTCATGCCTGCAATCCCAACACTCTGGGAGGCCAAAGCAGGAGGATCACTTGAGCTCAGGTGTTCAAGACCAGCCTGGGCAACATAGTGAGACCTCAATCTCTATTTCAGTAACATTTAAAAAGAAAAAAAAAAAAGAAAAGAAAGCCAAAAATACAAATGAATAGGGCTGCTAGAAGAAGGCAAGGCTGAAAACAGGCTTCTTGAGAAAATGTGCCAAAGTCTCTGTATCTGGTGTCTGATGCCTATTATCGTCTGCACATAGTGGCTGCTGAAATTTTTGTTGAATGAATGAATGAATTAATGACCAAAGTGAATGGGAAATGAGAAAATCTGGGGACAGAATCCAGAAATAAAAAGGAGAGTAGGCATGTGTCCCAATTCTGACCAAAAAAGATTCCAGGAAATGGTCATTAGAGGTTTCTGGCAAAGCTCTTCTCCATTCTTAGAAGAGAGTCATGGAAAGCCTTTCTGTCTCCTATGCAACATGAGTGAGTATATATGTTGCCCTGGTTGTTACTGTCTGCTGTTTTTCTTCTTCTTCTTTTTCTTCTTCTTCTTCTTATTTTTTTTTTTTGAGACAGGGTCTCACTTTGTCACCCAGGCTGGTGTACAATGGTGTGATCCTAGCTCACTGCATTCTGTACCTCCCCAGGCTCCAGTGATCCTCCCTCCTCAGCCTCCTGGGAAGCAAGGACTACAGGTGCATGCTACCATGCCTGGCTAAGTTTCGTATTTTTTTTGTAGAGACAGGGTTTTGCCATGTTGCACAGGCTGGTCTCGAACTCTTGAGCTTATGCAATCCACCTGCCTCCACCTCCCAAAGTGCTGAGATTACAGGCATGAGCCGCCATGCCTGGCAGTCTGCTGTTTTTCAACCATTAAGTAAACTGACACTGTGGACAATAGACAGGAGAGACACAGCCTCTCATCCTGTTAGCCAATGTTTAACTTGTAGTCCTTCTACCCCTGGACTTCCAGGTATGTGAGCATTCTTATTGTTTAAGTTAACGTGGGCTGTTATTTGCAGCCCAAAGCCTCTTAACTAATACATATCTGAGAAGCAATAAAAAGAAAATTTAGGCCGGGCATGGTGGCTCATACCTGTAATCCCAGCACTTTGGGAGGCTGAGGTGGGCAGATCACAAGGTCAGGAGATCAAGACTATCCTGGCTAACACGGTAAAACCCCATCTCTATTAAAAATACAAAAAATTAGCCAGGCATGGTGGCATGTGCCTGTAGTCCCAGCTACTCAGGAGGCTGAGGCAGGAGAATCACTTGAACCCGGAAGACAGGATGCAGTAAGCCGAGATAGCACCAATGCACTCCAGCCTGGGCAACAGAGTGAGACTGTCTCAAAAAAAAAAAAAGAAAAAGAAAACATAAATATTTTTTAAATGAGGCCAGGCACAGTGGCTCACATGTGTAATCCCAGCATTTTGAGATGCCAAGGCAGGAGGATTGCTTGAACCCAGGAGTTGAAGGTTATAGTGAGCTATGATCGCACCACTGTACTCCAGCCTGGGTGACAGAGTAAGACTGTCTCTAAAGAAAAAAAATGTTTTAATAAGAAAATCATGTTGAAGATGATGAACATAACATGCCATTATTTAACTTTGTAGCTTCATCAAAAACTAATCTCAAAAAAATAGCAAAATAAATCACTGCTATAAAGAAATATAGACCTTCTGTGCAACTGGTATAGCTAAACGTATATCCAATAATTCAGATGTACTATCCGTGAAAAAAGATGTCAGACTTTCACTGGATGAAACAGTAGATTAAACACTACAGAAAAAAAATACTAACAAATTTGAAAGCAGCAAAAAAAATCCGAATGAAACACAGAGAGAAAAAAGACTGGGAAAAAAAATAATGAACATCAGTATGCTGTGGGAAAACATCACATGGCTCAATATACATGTAACTGGAGTCCCCAGAGGAAAAGCAGGGGAAAACAAAAAAAAATCTGAAGAAGTAATGGACAAAATGTTTCCAAATTTGATTAAAACTACAAATCCATAGATCTAAGAATCAACAAATCACAAGCACAAGAATCATGTAAGCAGGGCACGGTGGCCCATGCCTGTAATCCCAGCACTTTGGAGGCCGAGGTGGGAGGATAGGTTGAGCTCAGCAGTTTGAGACCAGCCTGAGCAACACTGCAAGACATCATCTCTACTAAAAATAAAAAAAAATTAGCCAGGTCTGATGGCATATGCCTGTAGTCCCATCTACTCGGGAGGCTGAGGCAGGAAGATAGCTTGAGCCCAGGAGATTGAGGCTGCAGTGGGCTATGATTTCACTGTTGCACTCCAACCTGGGAGATGAGCGAGACAGTCTCAAAAACAAAAAATAAATAAATAAAATCATGTAGAAAACAACATCAAAGCACATCACAATCAAATTGCTTAAAACCAGTGATAAACAGAAAATTCTAAAAGTATTCAGAGAAAAAAGACACATTCTATACAGAGAGAACAAAGATTAAAAGGACAGCAGACATCTCAGACAGCATGCAAGCCAAAAGACAGTGAAGCATCATCTTTAAAGTAATGAAAGGAAAAAAATGATCAATCTAGAGTTCTATACCCAATGAACATTTCTTTCAAAAGGAAAACAAAATATGGACTTTTTCAGTCATATAAAAGTTGAAAGAATTTATCACCCACATACTTGCTGTACTAGAAATGCTAGAGAATGTTCTTGAGGTAAAAGCAAATATGAAAATATGGGTCCAGATGGAAACATGGATCTACACAAAGGAATGAAGCAGCCCAGAAATGGTAAATATAGACAAAAGTGACTCCATCTTGGATGCTAATCTGCCATGTTAACTTCTGACTAGCCCCAGTCCTGTAAATGCCTCTTGAGTCCTGCTTTATTTACTAGTGTAAGAACATGTCAACCTTGGCGTTGGCACACAAATGACAGGATATGGCACATGCAGCATTCTTGCCTGCTCTGGAGGGCTGTCTTTAATTGTCTTGCACAGGGTGCATATCCCATTTCCCTGTACTATATAAGCCCTGGGTCTCAGGAGTAACAGTATGGAGATCTACCTGTCTTGCAGCTACCCAGGACCATGCTTCTGTCTGCAAGTTCCCTCAATAAATCAATCAATACCAACGAACAATTTGCCTGCCTCCTCCTCTTGTTTCTCGGTCCCTTCAGCATTCAAGGGTCACTTTGCTTATATGACCATTTCAGGCAACAATATGGTTAAATATATAAGCCTTTTTTTTTTTCTTATATTGAAAATCTCTTCAAAAGATAATTGACTATCTAACACAAAAATAATGACAATATGTTGTGAAGCTTATAACATGTAGAAATAAAATATATGACAATAGCACAAAGACCAAGAGGAAGGGAGGAATGAAAGTATACTGTTGTTAGGTTCTTGTTCTAGATGTGAAGAGGAGTAATATTACTTGAAGGAAGATTGTGATAATTAAAGATGACATTATAAACTTTAACCACTAAAAAAAAGAAAAAGTTATATATAATAAGCCAACGTGAGAGATAAAATGGAACCATAAAAACTGTACTCAACTGAAAAGAAGAGGGAAAAAGAGGAAAAAGAACAAGAACAAATGTGACAAATGAAAAACAAATAGCAAGATTAAAACTAAACATACTAAATAATCAGATTAAATGTAAATAGCCTGAACACCCCAATTAACTGCAGAGATAGTCAGACTGGATTAAGAAACAAGACTCAACCAAACACCGACTACAAGAAGCCCACTTATATAAAGATACCAACAGGCTAAAACTAAAACTATAGAAGAAATATCTATCATGCTAATGTTAATCAAAAGAAAGCTGGAGTAGCTATAGTAATACCAGACTAGTAGATTTCAGAGCAAAGTATATAATCAAGGATAAAGAGAATCATTTAATAATGATAAAGGGGTCCATTCGTAAAGGTATATTACAGTCCTAAATATTTATACACACAGTAAGTTTCAGCCCACCAAAACAAGAAAATAGAAAGATGCCTTTCATGCAGTATCAGTATTCCTGTACCAAACTGAACATTGCCAAAATGGGGCTCAAGATATTCTTTATGTAATAAATGGCATGCAATTTTACTAATAAAAGTACAATATCACCCAAAAGGGTCAAAGTTAGTAATGTGTTAAACGGCTCATGAAAATATTTATGACTTCAGTGCCAAAATCTAAAGCTGACTCACCTTTCGTATTGCCTATCTCGTGGTAATGAAGCACTCCAATGTCGAAAGTCTATGATTAACATAAGTAAAAGGAGACAGGATATGAAGAAGAGTCCCAGGAATGCTACCCGCTGACGGAGAAATGGACTCACTGTGGGCACAGTGAAGTACCAGGAGGCTGGGCAGAGGTAGGAAAAACTGATCCTGAAATTAGACAAACATTAGTAAGTCTGAAACATTTCTACAATTGAGTGCTTAAAAATCGTTTTTAAATTGGATAAAAGCCCTCCTAATAAAGGCAAAAATCCATGCCAACAGAAGTCTAAATGTTCTTTTCGTCTCTAATTTTAGAAGTTCATGGTGCTTCTACTATATAAATCAGAAAAGCCTTATCTGCCCTTTTTCCAAACTGTACTTTTGAGTGCAATTCAAAGACTTAATCTCATGTTAGTGAAAAGATCACCAGTCTTCCCGGGCAACCTCATAACATTGGAGAATCACAGCAACTACAATATTCCCAACCAAGAATGCTGTCAAGAAACAGGATGGTCAGAAAATTTATTTAACTGATTTTTTAAATGTTTTATCAGATTATATATGCACATAGCAAAAGACAAATCAAACAGTTTAAAAGGATATATTGTATAGTGAAAAGTGATTCTTGCCCTGACCCCATAATCTCTCTCTCAGAGGCAACCATTGCTACCCAGTTGCTGTGTAATTTTCTTTTTTTTTTGAGATGGAGTCTTGCACTGTTGCCCAGGCTGGAGTGTAGTGGTGCAATCTCGGCTCACTGCAACCTCCACCTCCTGGGTTTAAGCAATTCTCCTCCCTCAGCCTCCCCAGTAGCTGGGATTACAGGTGCCCACCACCACACGCGGCTAATTTTCGTATTTTTAGTTATTTTTAGTAGAGGAGGGGTTTCTACTTGGCCAGGCTGGTCCCAAACTCCTGACCTCAGGTGATCCGCCTGCCTCGGCCTCCCAAAGTGCCGGGATTGCAGGCGTGAGCTACCGCACCCGGCCGTTGCTGTGTATTTTTCCAGGGATATTCTACGGATACACAAGCATAAATATACACCAATATATTTACAGTAATATATCTGTGTGTGTATGTGTGTGTGTGTATCCATTCCCTCGGTTTTACACAAATGGTAGTCCACCATACCTGCTGTTCTACATCTTTCCCCCACTTTATTTGATAACTGTCCCTTATTGGTGCATGTAGATCCACATTAATATTTTTTAAAAGCTTCAGGGTATTATAATGTATGGATAAGTGTATTCATCTGTGAAGTTCACTTTCTACATTGACTCAAAAGGACCTCGGTCTGTCTGCTTTTAAAGTTCATTGCAAACAAAAAACAAAAAACTTCTTTGTTTAACCTCCTCAGGTGGCACCTAGCCTTGCTCAGATGCAAATCTGAACCAATGTTACAACCTTGTACTTTACAGAGCTGAGCAAGCCGACTCACTCCACCACCCCGGGCCACGGGCTAGAAACTATTATTTATCAGCCCTCGCAATAATACAACTTTGATCATCTCTGCATCCAACTGACCAGGATACAAAGTCCAAGTGCAGCTCCAGGGCAAACCTCACTTGGGACAGCCTCCCAGGGCCCCCCAACCTGCCTGCCATCCTCTGCCGTGCTCCCAGCCGGAGAGAAAGTGTACAGCCTTACCTAGCCATGGGTTCCTTTCGGTGGTCTCAACGCCTGTCACCTTCTTTTTCTTTTGCCCTGAGAAGGTGGCCTCCTTGTCCCAGGCATGTCCTACGTCTGCAGCCTAGAAAGATTTGATTTCAGGCTTCTGTCCGACTGAGCCCACGAGACAAGACCTCCACGGGAATTCCACGGCTCCCACCTCCTCCCCAGGCTCCCACTCCGTCTGCTCTGGTTCCTCAGGCCCAGGGGACCCCACCCAGGCATCCTGGGAGCGGGGCGTTCTCGTGGGCCAGCTCTGTCCTCTAGGAACCGGTCGTCCCCAGGTGGCGGGGTGTGGGTCCCGCTTCCTCTCCCCGTCCCTCCGGGTCCCACAGCCCTCTCGCGCCCACACTCACGGGATCAAGCGGCCCGCCGGTTCCTTCGGCACCGCTCGGTTCAGTCCCGAGCGGATCCCCGCGGCCCCTTGCCCAGCCGGAAGGAGGGCCCGGGCCGGCGGCGGCGCCACGTCCCCAAGGAAACCGCAGGGAGCCAATGACTGACAGAAGACCCACAGAGAGGGGCCGGCTCTTCAGGAGCCGAACCGGGGGCGAACCAGCTCAGTCAGCAGCACGTCCGTCCGCCAGGGTGGCCAATCCCCTAGACCGGTTGGCCTCTAATGCCCGCCCCGGGACTTTGAGTCGCGCCCAATCGGAAAGGCGTCGTACCGAGGCTCCGCCTGCAGGGCCCGCGGTGAGCTCACAGGTGAGTGGCGCTGGGCGGCCCTGCACTCGCTGCCCTCCCAGGGCCGCGAACTCTCGGCCGGTTGCTTTCTCCACGGCCGCTCCCGGGACAGAGTACCTCCGGTGGGTGGGTTTCGGGGTGTTCGCGACGGAAGCGCATCCCTTGCCCATAACCTATTGTTGGTTTTGTGCCCACTAACCCTCCCTACCAGGATGGCAGTTCTTCCACCTTAAACCTTCCCTATCACCTCCCAAACTGATGCCCCGTGAGAAAAACATAAATTGGAGACAATGACGTTTACACCAAAGTACTTATGTCCATTCATTTGTTTACACCAAAACCTTATGTCTATTCATTAATTCACTGAATGTCTACTAATGCCAATCATCATGAGTTTCTGTGTCGCCGCCCTCCTTGACCTTACAGTAACACAAAGGAAACGACGCGCGCGAGCGTGAGTGTGTGTGTGTGTTTCTTTCTTGCTTACACCAGCCGTTATCTCATTTCCAGGAGGACGGCATAAAGTCCAAGCTCTTTCCAACGTGGCACTTCCATTGCGCCCCACAATCCGCCCTACCGCGTCCTCTGCGGCTACTTGTCTTCCTTACCACGCTCCAGCAACCCGCCCTGTTTTGCTCATTCTGCCCCTCCACCTGCTTTGAATAACCGTCCCGGCCCTTAGCCAAATCACCTCCTCTTCATTCCTTACCACCCATCTTAAGGGTCACCTTCCCCTAAAAGTCCTGCTTGACCTACTATACCTTCTTTATACATGCCTATTGTTTCACTTAGCACATTGAATTACAATTATATGTATGTGTCTGTCTGTCCCACTAGACAGAATATCCTTGAAGGCAAGAACTATCTGCTTCCACATGTTCCCAATACTGGCCACTGTCTGGCAGATAAAACACAACTAATGTATAATTAATAAGCAAATAAATGAATGTGGGGGGGTCGGGAAAGACCACCCAAATGCTTTATTTATTCAAAGCTTGCTATGACAAGGGAGTCAGTCACCATCACTTGCATTTGGCAGACTCAAAGCCTGTCAGGACATTAGGAAAACTACTTACTTACTTACTTACCTACAGGGTCTCACTCCGTTGTCATCCAGGCTGGAGTGCAGTGGCGTGATCATGGTTCACTGCAGCCTCGACCTCCTGAGCAAGTGATCCTCCTACCTCAACCTCCTGAGTAGCTGGCTCTACAGGCACGTGCCACCGTGCCTGGCTTTTGTTTTTTAATTCTTTGTAGAGATGGAGTCTCACTGTGTTGACCAGGCTGGTCTTGAACTCTGGGCTCAAGCAATCCTCCTGTCTCAGCCTCCCAGAGTGCTGGAATTACAGGGATGAGCAGCTGCACCTGGCCAGGAAAGATTAGTAGTGAACAAAAGGGAAGGTTTCATGTATGCTCTAACTTGAGGGTATTAGCATGGGAAAGCTGGAGGTGGGCTAACAAAAGCAGTGTATCTTATGTGATTGGTTTGGGGTAGGTGGCATATTTGGCTGTCTTTAGTGGATCCTGAATTGAAGAAAGGGGGAGGCAAAAAACAGGGAAACTGAGTCATTGACCAAGTCCTGATTATTCTGGGCTGGTTGCTGTAGAGGTTGTGGGTCAGAGTTCTAATTGTCGTATAAGATCTAGTCATTGTCCAGTTTCTATATTCAGTTCTTATGACTCTATTTTTTTTTGCTCCACTACACTCCTAACCTGATTGAACTTCCTAATTTGCCTTTCTTCTTCAATTCTCAGTTCTCAGTTTTTTTCTCTCTGTCCCTCAATCCCCACTCTGCCTCAAGTGTTATATTTTATCTGGACCCCTAGAAACCACATTGAATAGAATAGTTGCATAAAGTTGGGATTAACCACATTATACAGATATTTTTATTTATTACAGATACTAGTTATTTTTATTATTTCAGAACCCAGTTCAGTTCCTAGAACAAAATAGATATGGAAAGAACTAAAATAATATTTTTGAGTAATTTTTAAAAATTTCTTGAATTTGCCTTCTATGAGTTCTAAGTCTAATCTATATCTATCTATCTATCTATCTATATATTTCAAACTTTAGTGTTCCACAAAATAGGTGTTTTTGAGTGGAAGTATAATTCCTATTTTTAAAATAGTACTTAATTCCTATGGTTTATGAACTATATTAACTTATAATTCAAAAGTTCATTGAAACATCCTCTAATTTACATTTCATAACTACATCATAAAACAGAAAAGACCTACATTTTAATCCCAACATATTTTCATTATATTTTCTTTGTAAAATTTTGTCAGTCTGGTTTGGACAATACTTCCTTCAATAAATCCATATGCCCTCAAGCATTTGTCAAGCATAATTCCTTACAAAAACCAGCAATGCTTATCTGGTTAACAGCTCACAGGGCTAAGTTCTGAGGTTTCCAGTCAGCAGGGCAAATTAAAAAGCACTGAGACTATTTCTCTATTTCATTTGCTGTAACTCAACGTGTTGCAACAAATTGTAGAAACCTATGTTTCAAAACAGGTTTTTAACTGCTCTTTAAAGGCTTGCCTTACAGTTACATTTGCAATTTTCTCCAGATGTGCTTGATGCCCAGCCCTGAGCAAAATCAGCCCAACAGTTCCCATATTAGGTGCTAGTTGTTTGCTTTGCTTCATTTCCCCTTGTGGATTCTCCTTGCCGCCACACTCCATTCTACCCTACCCTCTAAAGGAATTTGGAGGAGTGTCATGTGGTCTACACTCTCCCTTCCAAGTTTACCCATCACTCTTCACCTGTCTTTCAAACACCCCATTGTCCCAAATAAACGCATTCTCTCTCCACTCTCATCATATCCACCCAAGTCTCCTCCATCCATATTCTCCATTTTGACAAAATACCTTGTGATTCACCAGAGCAGGAACCTGTATGGTAGTCATCCTAGAATATCTTCTTTCTAACTTTCATTCTCCCTTTCCATCCAGTGAGTCATTAGGGGTGCTTAATTCCAGTGCCTAAAATCCTCTCCAAGATCTTCTAATGAAGCCTTCCAACTGGTGGCCCTGCCTCCAGACCCATGCCCCTCCTGAGTGCCCCTTGATTCTGTTACCATTGGGAAATCTCATCATGCTACTTCCTGATTTTAAATCCTTCACTAATTCCTTATTTATTTTTTTTTAGCCCATCTTGTGGTCCCATAGTAGTTTCTTATTTTGACGAGATATAGTCCAAATTCCTAAGCATGGTGTGGCAGATCCCACTGACAGCCTATTCCAGAGGTTCCTTATTATTATTATTTTTTTAGCCCATCCTGTGATCCCATAGTAGTTTCTTATTCCAATGAGATATAGTCCAAATTCCTTAGCATGGTGTGGGAGATCCCACTGATAGCCTATTCCAGAAGTAGGCTCTCTCTTCTACCTTGTTAACTTGACAAGTAACCACACTGAACATGCTTGGCCATGTTCTTGAAGGGTGCTAGGCTCCAACCTTAGTCCCAGGAGGTAAACTGTGATTGTCTAAGTCAATCATGGTGGGCCCATACCCTCACAAAATATTGGTTTAAATGGGCATATGATACAATTTTAGCTAATAATATGAAAGGGAAATCAGCTGTTGCGAAGAATGGCCAGGGAGGAGGGAAGACATTTCTAGGCAAAGTTTTCTTCATCTTAAAAAGAGATACATTCATAGCAAAGTTATTGAAAGAAAAAAAAAATACAGATATAAGTCAATGAAAATTTTTCATAATGGGGCTGGGTGTGGTGGCATGCAGCTGTAATCCCAGTTACTTAGAAAGCTGACGTAGGAGGATCTCTTGAGGCCAGGAGTTCAAGGTGTTTTTGAGTGGAAGTATAATTCCTATCTATTTTTAAAATAGTACTTAATTCATATGGTTTATAAACTATATTAACTTATAATTCAAAAGTTCACTGAAACATTCTCTAATTTACATTTCATAACTACATCTCAAAACAGAAAAAAATCTACCTTTTTTTTTTTGAGAAGGTGTCTCGCTTTGTCCCCCAGGCTGGAATGCAGTGGCGTCATCTCGGCTCACTGCAACCTCTGCCTCCTGGGTTCAAGTGATTCTCCTGCGTCAGCCTCCCGAGTAGCTGGGATTACAGGTGCACACCACCATGGTCAAATAAGATCTACATTTTAATCCCAACATTTTTAAATTCCATTTTCTTTGTAAAATTTTGTCAGTCTAGTTTGGACAACACTTCCTTCAATAAATCCATATGCCCTCAAGCATTTGTCAAGCATGATTCTTTGTGAAAACCTGCAGTGCTTATTTGATTAACAGCTCATAAGGCTGAGTTCTAAGGTTTCCAGTCAGCAGGGCAAATTAAAAAGCATTGAGACTATTTCTCTATTTCATTTGCTGTAACTCAACATGTTGAAACAAATTGTAGAAACCTGTATTTCAAAACAAGTTTTTAACTGCTCTTTAAAGCCTTGCCTTACAATTATATTTTCAATTTTCTCCAGATGCGTGTTATGATTGCGCCTATCAGTAGCCACCGCACTCCAGCCTCGGCAATATAGCAAGATCCCATTTCTTTAAAAAAATTTGTATAATGAGAGAGAAAGAAGAGAAGGCCCCCTTTCTACTTCCAGGTGTGATCTTTTTGTTGTTGTTGTTTTTGAGATGGGTCTCACTCTGTTACCCGGGCTGGAGTGTGGTGGTGCAACCTCTGCCTCCCAGGCTCAAGCAATCCTCCCGCCTCCTGAGTAACTGGGCCTACAGGCACACACCACCACACCTGGCTATTTTTTTTGTATTTTTGGGAGAGATGGGGTTTTACCATGTTGCCCAGGCTGTCCAGGTGTAATCTTAAGGACATGATGCCTGGAGCTGCTATAACCATCTTATAATCATGGGGGTACAAGACTGGGGATAACAGAATAGAAATACAGAAGCAAACTGGGTTCTTGATAACATCATCAAGCTGCTAAATTAAAACATTGGAGCAGTCTCACCTTGTGCTTATTATTTGAAATACTAAATTCCTTATTGTTCTTATTTTTAAGTCAGTGAATCAGGGATTTATGTTGCCTGTAGTCTCCTGATACATGTGACTTTCAATGCCTGATATGATCTAGCCCCCAACAGTTTCCAAGCTCACTAATAGATGTTATCACCCAGAACCCTTACATATTTAAAGTTCTCAGCATTGATTATAACTTTTCTCAACTCTGAGCCTTTTTACTTGCTGTTACTCTGCATAACTTTCATTCACTTCTGTATCAAATGAACTCCTACATATCCTTAAAAACTCAGCTCAAATATTACCTCCTCCATGAGCCCCCAAGTCAGCTTACATGCTTCTTATTCTTTGCCCTTATAGTACTTTGCCTATATATACTTCTATTAGGGCAAGCTGGCAGCTGTCTGATTGGACCTGATGCCACTGGGCCTGGTAGGAAGACAGAATATCTGTTTTAGACCTTAACAGATATGTTTGGTCTGAAAAGATGGAATCCCTTGGGCTTAACCTAGATGGGAGATATTTAGACCAAGAAGAATTAAATTACTCTGCAAAGTGAAATACAGTAATTTTGAGCATTCCCTCTAGAGACTGGGTTTGGGGAGCTCTGGCAAGGAAAAAAGAAAAAGAGATGAAAAAAGAGGAAGGATCAAGGCAAGATGGCAGATAAGACGGAAGAAAACAGCCCACGAGAGACTCTCTGTATTACTTATCTGTTGCTACATAGCAAATTACTCCAAAACTTTGTGGCTTAAAATAACAATAAGCATTATTATCTCTCACAGTTTCTGTGGGTCAGGAATTTGGTTGCCTCTCGACTCAGGATCTTCTCATGAGGTTGCAATCAAGATGTCAGCTGGGGTTATAGTCTGCTAAAGTCTTAGCTGAAACTAGCGAATATCTTTCCAAGATGGCATGCATGGCTGGCAAGTTGATGCTGGGTATTGGTGGGAGGCCCCAGTTTCTTTTCACATGGTTCTTTCCCAGGGCTGCTTGAGTACCTTCATTCCATGGTAGCTGGCTTCCCCCAGGGTGATCCTAAAGAGAATGAGCCAGGTAGAAGCTTTATCCTTTGTATGACCTAGCCTCAGAAGTCAAATATCTTCACTTCTGCCACACATTATTTGTTAAAAATGAGTCACTAACTCCTAGCCCACATTCAAGGGGAGGGGAATTAGACTCCACCTTTTGAATAAAGAAGTATCAACTGATTTGTAGACATCCTTTTAAATTACCGCAGTCCTTAAAATGAGTTTGGTCAGGGAACTTTTGGATAATGATAATGACATCATCCATGTTCAATTTTGAGTTTTGTGCTATGTTATAATCCTCTTTGGGACCCCAAACCTTCAGTGAAAGTCTGATAACACCACAGCTTTGTGTTGGGGTACTGTGAGGAATGAAGACAGCACAGCAGGGCGATGACAGTATCTGCAGAAAGTAAATTAACAAGTAGGATGATTGAAAATTTGAAAAATACAGAAAATCAATACCACAGGTCATTCAGAGAAGTAAAAGACCCCTCCTCAGAAAGACCAAGGTGAGGGAGGCTGGGGTGGGAGTACAGTATGGCAAACTCTAAAAGCCCATAGTACTTGAACTATGAGCTTGAACTATGAGGCATTGTGAGAAGGGAACGTAATCCCTTCTCTTGGTATCCATCCAAATTTTACTTGAGTGTGGACGCCCTCCTCGTGTATAGCATGTCATTTGAGGATTCTGACTCCACTCCTGGCCCTGGGAATGGCACATGCAAGCCAGACCTGAGTATTGGAAAAAGTTTCATCCCTTGGTCATAGCTACTGTTTCAGGAGTGGGCACATGACCTAATTCTAGATAAAGAGACATGCTTTCTGAGACAAAAAAAAAAAGGAGGGGGGGGGGCATTTGCTTTTCTTAAAGAGCATACAAGAGAACATTTCTCAACCACCTTCCTCTGTTTTCTCAGGCCCCCCTGCTTTCTCTCACCAGGACCCCTACCTTTCACTTTGTTCCCTTCCACCTCTCCAGTCAGTCCCTATCTGGGTAAGGGGTCTTCCCTTAAGCTCCAGCAGGTGGAACCCAGTGTTTACATTCTCTTCTATCTCTGCCTCCACCCCATGCAGGATTTTGAGGAATCAGAAAAGAACCTGCTGTTGTATCTGGAAGAACCTGCTGTTGTATCTGGAAAAACAAAAAGAAGCTCTTTATGTACACATAGGATAAGATCATAGAGAAATATTAATAAGTAAAAATTGACAGTGACCAAAAAATCTAACATCACATATAAAAACTAACTTGAAATAGATCATAGTTCTGGATGTAAGTGCTAAAACGATAAAACTTGTAAAAGAAAATACAGGAGAAAATCTTGGTAGCCTTGAAATTTCTTAGATTCAACAGCAAAAGCAAGACACACACTCACACACCAAAAGAAAACCTTAATAAATTGGTCTCCATTGAAACTAAGATCTAGGCCAGGCATGATGGCTCATGCCTGTAATCTCAGCTCTTTGGGGGGCTGAGGTGGGAGGATTGATTGAGGCCAGGAGTTCACAGCCAGCCTGAGCAACACAATCAGACTCTATCTCTAAAAACAATTTAAAAATAAAAATATATGCCAGGCATGGTGTCACGGACCTCTCATCCTAGTTACTCAGGAGGCTGAGGTGAGAGAATCATGTGAGCCCAGGAGTTCGAGGATGCAGTGAGCTATGACTGTGCCGCTGCACTCCAGCCTGGGTGACAGAGTGAGACCCTACCCCCCCCCAAAAAAAAGCAACTAAGATCTACTCCTCTTCGAAACAGACTACTAAGAGAATGAAAAGATAAGCCACACAGTGGATTATCCTTCTGTGGGAGAAAATATTTGCAAATCACATATATAGGACTTGTATCTAGAATGTGAAAAGAATTCTCAAAATTAAATAAAAGAAAGCAAACAACCCAGGTGCAAATAGATGAAAGATTTGTGCACTTCACCAAATAAGATATACAGATGGCAAATAAGCCATCTGTTCAAAAGATGTTCAAAATCATTAGTCATTAGAGAAATGCAAATTAAAACTACAATGAGAAGGTGGCTGACTAAACACAGGTAGTATGTGCCTTTTTTATGGAGAGGAACCAGAAGAGTAAGTAGATATATTTTAAAGAGATTGTCTAGTAGAGAATGCTAGGACTCACCAGAGAAGTGATGGGAAGCACCAGAAGTAAGGAGAGGGTTTGGGGACTGACTGAGAGCTCCAAGAGGCTCCCCGATGCCGGGAAACAATAAGAGAGAAATACCTAGGGCTCCACACTCCAAAAAGAGCTTTTATGATCTTGGCTATGCAAGAAAACCCCCCAAGCAACTTAGGACCTCGGGCCTGATATATGGAGCTGCCTAAAATTGCACAGAGATGTTGCTCCAGAAAAGAAATCCACATGGAATCCTATAGGCATCTGAGACTAGAGAAGCCTCAGCCAGGCATTATTTTGATAGTCTAGATACCGGGGATCTACAGACATGGCTGTGGCTGTTGCACTACTCCAAAAAGGAGAGGGGAGACCAAGTGCTCTCACGCACCTCTGGGAGAGTCCCTACCACCCTTCTGTGGGCTGCCGTTGAGACTGAGACATGAACCCAGCCAAGGAGGGTCAGGGAAACCAGGCTTTCCTATACATATCTAAGACAATACCACTGCCCTGCAGTGGGCTGCTGTGTGACTGAGATGTCAGTGGATTGCATTTCCCCACAGATTCTTGCCCACACTGCTTGCCTGGAATGTGGCCTACCCTCTCTGGTCCCAGACCCAAGGCACCATTTTGAGAATTTAATGTTGAGCTACATCCTGCCCTTAGGCTGAGTTCAGACTGATGCAGCTGCAGCTGCTGCCCAGCCAAGAACAGACAGGGAAACCAGGCTCTCCTACACACACACAGGACAATACCCACTGCCCTGTGGGAGTTCAAAACCAGCCTGGACAACATAGTAAGACCCAATTTCTACAGAAAATTTTTAAAAATTTGCTGGGCATCGTGATGTGCACCTATAGTCCCAGTTACCCAGGAGGCTGAGGCAGAAGGATTGCTTGAGCCCAGGAGGTTGAGTCTGTGGTGAGCTGTGATCGCACCACTGCACACCAGCCTGGGTGACAGAATGAAAGCCTGTCTGAAAAAGAAAGAAAGAAATTAAAATGGAAATTTTAAAAAAAATTTGAAATGAATGAAAATGAAAGCACAACATACCAAAACCTGTGGGATACAGCAAAAGCAATCCTAAGAGGGAAGTTTATAGCACTAAATATCTACATCCACAAAGTAGACAGATTACAAAATAACAACTTAATGTCACATCTCAAGGAACTAGAACAAGAACAAACCAAACCCAAAGTTAGCAGAAGAAAAGATATAATGAAGATTAGATCATAACTAAATGAAATAGAGACCAAAAAAATCAATGAATGAAAAGTTGCTTATTTGAAAATGTAAACAAAATTGATAAGTCACTAGCTAGACCAAGAAAGAAGAGAGGCAATCCAAATAAACAAATGGATATGAAAAATGAGACATTAAAATGATACCACAGAAATATAAAAGATCATCAGAGGCTATTATGAACAACTACATGCCCACAAACTAGAATACCTAGAGGAAGTGGGTAAATTTTTGGAAACATACAATCTTCTGAGATTCAACTAGAACAGAACTCCTGAACA